ACTTTGTCCTTTTTTTCTCTCTTACTCACCCTCAATTCAGGAAAATAGTCATGAAATGCTAAGACAATTAATAATATATGCCTTGTAGCTCTGCAAAAGGAGAAGTGTAATCCTGCTTATTTTTCATGTTTATCAGGTCATTATCACCTTAGATTCATAGCATGATGGTCAAAAGGGACCTTACTCCATGCAGAGGCTGCAGGGTAGGATGAAATTAATCAGAGACGCTCACCTGATGCTTACACATCTTAAGTGGCATGCCTTATAGTACTCTATTTGTCTATAAATATAATACGGTAATATTAGGATTTTTTTTTTCTTAAGAGCTGACTCAACTCTAATTTTCATTTTCTGCACTTTCCAATTGGTCTGTGTATAGGCACTGATTTTTAAATATTTTATTTATTTTTATTTATTTGATTTGTCAATCGCTTACAAGGTAATAGATCTAAGTATAAACATGAGTAAGAATACAGGAAATAGGTACGAATAAATGGGGACAATAGGACAGGGACGGTAGGCACGATTGTGCACTTATGCCCCTTACAGACCTCTTAGGAATGGGGTGAGGTCAATACCACTGTTATTATCTTTGTTATTTGATATCAGAGTCACTAGAACATTATTTTGGATTAAAGGATGATTTGAGGGCCAGTTTGATCTCATGGTTAAGCTTGATGTTAGAAACTGGGAGATCATGTCTTCTAGTTCCACTTTAGGCACAAAGTCAGCTGGTTGGCCTTGAGCCATTCACTCTGTCTCAGCACTAGGAAGAACACCTTGGCAAGCCACTTTTGAAATCTTATTAAGAAAATAGGACTTATTCAAGTAGTTTCCTGGAGTCAACATGAACTTCAGGGTGCGCGCGCGCGCACACACACACACTAAACTGGGGGGACTTTAATATAAGGGATACTTGTATCATCATCTTTTCAATGTGTTACTTATATGGCTTAATGGGAAATGCTGTTTTTAGATAAGGATAATTGATCACGCATATCAAATTGTCAAATTTGGGAATTAGGCAAGGCAAGGCAGAATGGCTTATTTTAGACATGCCACATTCTCTGGGAGTATGCAAAATATTTTGAGTTCTGAACGTTCCAAGTTGGCCTTCCAATTGGGTCCTTTGGAGGGCGTTGGGAATGGTCTGATCTCAAGGTGGGTCAGCCCTGCCTCAGAGCAAAGGCCAGAATGGTGCAGTTGAAGGCAGGTCAGTTCTGATCCACCCAGAATAACTCATTCCAAGATTGGGTTGTTTCAGTCTCAATGTACTCCTCTTTTCAGACTGGCCTTGTACATATACATCAAAAGTGACAGACACAATGAATCAGGATCATATGTTAAGTTGCAATTAAGAAGATGTATTGCTCAAACCTCCGCACAAGAATCTACTTGACTAATGTACAATGATTAATTGGTGGTAGATAAGGGTCAACAAAATTCAAGAGGGGTTAGACTTAGACCATTGGTGGAAATGTAATTACTCTAGGCTGATGACTAGCTTAACTCCACTCCCCGCTCTGCCTGTTGTTCTCCTATAAAGTAATCTAAAAATATGGAGCTACGCAATGTCTCATGACATGGGTAGTTAGATAGATAGATGATAGATAGATAGATAGATAGATAGATAGATAGATAGATAGATAGATAGATAGATAGATAGATGATGATGGATGGATAGATAGATAGTCCTCTTATTGTTTTTGGTACCATTCTCCCAGTCATTCTTTTTATGTAAGGGGACTATGTGTTCATTATATTAAAAACAAAGCAACAAGCTTCTCAACAAATATAGATCTACCACTGAGAAAAGCCTAACTTTATCTTATTCCTAGCACACTGGTTTAATAGCAACAACAATAGCACTTATATACCACTTCACATGCTTTCCAGCCCTCTCTAAGCAGTTTACAGAGTCATCCTCTTGTCCCCAACAATCTGGGTCCTCATTTTACTAACCTCAGAAGGATGGATGGCTAAGTCAACCTTGAGCCAGTGAGACTCAAACTGTCAAACTGCAGGCAGCTGGCAGTCAGCAGAATTAGCCTGCAATATGGCATTCTAACCCCTGCACTCTTAATGATCTTTAAATGCATAGAGAGTTTTACTTGTGTACTGCACCATTCAGATCTAATTCTGTCATCTTCAATTCTGAATACTACAGATCAGGAGAAGGTTGGATCATCAGTTGATGGCCATATGGTTGGTCACTTTAATCCTTCACGCTTTAAAAGGTTGAATCCCCATGTCAAGTAGCACAAAATTGGAAGATGTGGAGAGATCAAAGAATTGCCCAAATTCTTCTTCTCCTTCTCCTTCTCCTTCTTCTCCATCACCATCTCCATCACCATCACCATCACCACCACCTCTATGTCATGACAACTCCTTCTGAGTAAATAATATTTTATAAAGATAGATTGCCTTGGATGCTTTTTGCTACATGCAAAGAGGAAGGTATATTTATTTATTATTTAGTTACTTCTATCCTGCCTTTGAAGGGACGCAGTGGCTAAGACGTTGAGCTTGTTGATCAGAAAGGTCACCAGTTCAGTTGTTCGAATCCCTAGTGCCACATAACAGAGTGAGCTCCCATTACTTGTGCCAGCTTCTGCCAACCTAGCAGTTCGAAAGCATGTAAAAATGCAAGTAGAAAAATAGGGACCACTTTGGTGGGAAGGTAACAGCGTTCCATGTGCCTTCGGTGTTTAGTCATGCTGGCCACATGACCACGGAGGCGTCTTCAGACAGCGCTGGCTCTTGGACTTTCTAACGGAGATGAGCCCCGCCCCCTAAATACGTTGAACCCTTTCCATATTTTTGCCAAGAAAATGACACAAATGAAATTGCTAGGAGTCAGAGTTATTGGACAATTTGGATGCAACAACAGTATTTTTGGTTCTAAATCAATATTGGAATCTGCAAGACAAATAGATGGAGGAATATTTCTATAAATGTTTATGTCTACCTATTCATTTATATATAAAATGCTCATTTCTCTTTTGGGCACATTTCACTTCCCACTTCTCTCTTCTCCCAGGATCCCTGTTTTTTTTTTATAAAAAAAACAGTCATTCATCAAACAAAAATTACAAATTTGAACGAACAAAAAAATCAAAATATGACACAGACAATGGGCACTCTAGTGCTCAGTTAGCCACCTCTTAACTATGGAGTGATTGGGGATGTGGTGGCTCAGTGACTAAGATGCTGAGCTTGTAGATCAGAAAGGTCAGCAGTTTGGTGGTTTGAATCCCTAGCGCCGTTTAACGGAGTGAGCTCCCATTACTTATCCCAGCTCCCGTTACTTGTCCCAGCAGTTCGAAAGCATGTAAAACGTGCAAGTAAAAAAATAGGCACCACTTTGGTGGGAAGGTAACAGCGTTCCATGCACCTTCGGTATTTAGTCATGCCGGCCACATGACCATGGAGACGTCTTCGGACAGCGCTGGTTCTTCGGCTTTGTAACGGAGATGAGCACTGCCCCCTAGATCCGGGAACAAGTAGCACATATGTGTGAGGGGAACCTTTAGCTTTACCTATCCTGCTTTTATTATATTTACAAGTAACTCAAGGTTGTGAACATCTCCAAAACACACCTTCCTCTTCCTATTTTCCTCATAACAACAACCCCGTGAGGTGTGTTGGACTGAGAGAGAGGGACTGGCCCAAAGTCACCCAGCTGCCTTTCATGGCTAAGGCTGGGCTAAAACTCACCATCTCCTGCTTTCTAGTCTGGTGCCTTAACCACTGGCTCTTATCCTATTCATGCTTGTTCATCCCATCCTAAAAGTTTCACTACGCAGTCAAAGAGTTCAATGCCAGTATCCCAAGAGGAATTCGCCAGAAAGCCATCAGACAGAGCAGTGCCCGCAGATATAAAGGCACCCAAAATCCTATGCCAGAATTCCAGTATGAAAGGTAGAACATTTAGACCTGAGAGGTTCAGGCAACAGGGTTTATAAGTAGTTAGACAAAATCTTGGAAGGAAGGGACAGATGGTGCCACCAGCTGTCTCCAAAAGTTGCTCTAACCCTTGAGTGCCAACAGGTAGACTTCAGACAGCCTTCATAGCTGCGTGGTGCTGACTATAGCCAATTGCAGAATGTGGGCTATCTGAGAATCTATCTAGAGCCCTGAATGGTCCATTTATTTGCTCATAAGAGTGTCAGGTCTCAGGACTCTTCCAAGTAACCAGATGCACCCCTGCCTCTCTGGTTTTTTGCATGTTTATGTTGTAACAAAGATGCTCTCATAGCTGAGATGACTGAATCTTCAGATCGGGCTAAGAATTTGGGTGTGAAAAGTCAGGAATTATGGAGATTATTTTTTTTTGCTATGGTTAGACACCGGTCCCGTCCCCCCCACCCCACCTCTGTGCTTCCCAAAACCAGTCTGCCTTTTCCGGCTGTGCTTCTCATCCTCTTCCTCACCCAAAGACGGATCTGAGAAGGCCTTTCCGCTTTGAAATGTGGCATCCATTAAGGGAATCTTTTCTCCATGGTGGATGGGGAGGCGCAGGATGCATGTTAGCAGCCGTCCCCGTTACGGAGAAGAGGGTTTAAAGTTTGGAAAGAAAAGAAAAGAAAGGAACAAGGAACCCGGCTAGAAATGGACATAACTAAGCCTAGAGAGCAAATCGTGTCAGAGACTCAAAAATGCCAGGGACACGACTGATCTGCTCCTTCTTCTCCACCAGGCATCCTGGTTAGCATTTATTTTCCCCAAGTTAAATCTGCCTTTGCAAAAAAGGCAAAGGGAGGGGAGAGAGAGGCACCCCACGAAAAAGGAAAGGAGGGGGGCAGCGTTGAGGTTACCCCAGCTCTTCCAGGCAGAAGACGAAGCCCAAGCCAAGCCTCCAGCCTTCTCCCTTTTCTCTCCCCCTCTTTCCCCCTCCCCCTGTGCCTCCCTCCTTCCCCCCCAAGCGCTCTCTCTCTCTCTCTCTCCTTCCACTAGCTCCAAGCCTCATTCAGCCGCGTTGCCAGCGGAGTGGAATAGGCTGGAGAGCGAGCGAGCGAACCAGCAGACACTGCGCCTCTTACTTGTGAATGGGACTCGTCTGCTCGCCTTTCTCCAGAGGTGATCCGGAGAGAATCCGGGGCCGCCAGATTTCCAGGTAACGGCTGCCTTCCCTCCGGCTCTCGCCCCCCCTCCCCCGCCCCTAAATTTCTGGGGAAGAGGTGGTGGGGGTGGGGGGGTGTTTCTTAAATTCTGGGCTCCTTTGAGAACGGATTTGAAAAGAAGAGGAGGAGGAGGTGGAGGAGAGAGAGAGGGACCGCGAAAGACCGGGGATGAAGAGGGGGAAGTCTCCTCTGCCAGCCGACGGGGCAGAAGGATGCTGCGGAAGGAGTTGGACCACAGCTTTGGGGTTCGCCCCGGCCATCAAGGACGTCGGGAGAAGCGGGCAGAAAAACAGAGGGAAGCTTGCGGGGGCTGGAAAGTCCCTTGCAGCCTGGCGCGGAGCTTCGAGTGGGGCATCATTCAGACAGAAGGGCTGGAGAGGAATTAAATAGACGCAGGGCAGACTCGGAGGCTGAAAGTGAAGGAGAGGGGCGTTGGGGGTTCGCCGTCCTCCTTTCTTGTGGTTCGTGCATGCCTCTCTTTCTCTTTCTCTCTCTCTCTCTCTCTCTCTGTGTTTGTGTTAAAGTGAGCTCGGGAGATTTCTTTATTCCGTTCCTCGGTTATGGCACCCATGATCCTAACTGGCCAAAGCCGAGCCGGGGCTAGTGGGAGCCACCGAGGTTCGAGACCATCCCATCGGCGCAACAATCCAGGCGTCGAAAGGGATGTGGGTGCGTGGCACCGAAGGCGTCTTGGAACATCCCCCCCCCCCACGCCACACACACACACACACACACATACACACACTTTCTCTCTGGGTTGCTCCAATCCAAGCCCCGCCCTTTCCCCGTCGGACTACAAAGCCCATCTTTTTTTTTAAGTTCTCGACTCCGTCGTTCTGTCTCTCGTGGGGGGTCGCTGGGTGCGCGCCCTGTGTGTGTGTGTGTGTGTGTGTGTGTGTGTGTGTGTGTGTGTGTGCACGCGCCGCGCGCGCAGCTCCGAATCTCCGGCGGCGCTTTTTGCAAAGCCCACTCGAGACTGCGCGTTCCGATGAATAGCAACCCCGTAGGAAAGGAAGTGGGGTCTCTTTTGGGGGGCTGGGTGGGGGGGAGGCGTCGGTTGTTTGGGAACGGGGCAGAATCTCCATAGGAAATGCTTAGATCCCAACTATTCTCCGTGTAGATGTGTGTGCAGGGAGACGGGGAAGCGGCCAGGGCGTTTTCCAAACCGGGGTTCGGGGGATTCCCCCCCCCCCCCCACTCCATCAGAAGAGACTTTTATTCTGGTTTTTGCAAACGGCTCCATTCTTGCTCCCAGCCGCCTCTCTTTCCCTGTGGCTTCGGTCGGAAAATCGTTATACCCTTTGGCTGATCTTTAGGAAATCCGAGCCACGGCGAAGGTGGAAAGAAAGCTCGCCGTATTAGAAAGCTGTTTTGACAACGGTCATAACGGTCCTTTTTCCTGGGAGGCCCTCAAGGACTCCCCCCGCCCCCCCAATCTTGCAACCTGACATCACCAGGAGAACAACTTTGCCATTTAGAGCGATGCCCATTGACCATCGGTGCCTTTAAATATTTATTTCACTGGGCGCTGAACGGAAAGGAGAAGCTAGTTGGCGACCGAGGAGTGTGTGTGTGTGGGGGGGGGGGGGGGTTGGATGGAAAAAGAAAGTAGGGGGGGGGGGGGGGAACCCCCCCTTTTTTTTTTTTTTTTTTTTTTTTTTGGTTGAAAAGAAAATGCTGCAATGAAGTGGTAGGGCATTTGCCCATCAAAGACAAAGGCATGCCTTTAAGAAAACCAGGTCACTCTTTCAAAGCTACCTTTAACTTCCAAATAGGAGAAGCAAAACAGTTTCTCCGCTCGCGTTTACCTTCTTGGAACTTTGTGTTCGTTTTTGGAAATGGCACAATTTCGTGGGCCACTAACTAAGGGTTAAGAAATTAATTAATTTTTATGACTTGGGGTCATAAAACTCAAGTCGTAGGGTTTCTGTAGATGTAGGCAGAGTCATGAAGCTTGAAAGCATTGACTGTCCTTGTTTCTTTCTTTCTTTCCTTCCTTCTTTCTTTCTTTCTTTCTTTCCTTGTTGTTGTTTTTTCTTCTTCTTCTTCTTCTTCTTCTTCTTCTTCTTCTTCTTCTTCTTCTTCTTCTTCTTCTTCTTCTTCTTCTTCCTCTTCCTCTTCCTCTTCCTCTTCCTCTCCTCCTCCTTTCCCTCCTCCACCTCCTCCTCCTTCTACCCCCCTATACTTTACCTCCCTAGCACTACCATTAGTATTTGAAAAACGTATCATCCTTTTTAGATAATATGTGATGTTCTCCAGTTAATATTTGCCAAAGAGTTCGGTTTTTTATGACAATTAAACTTAAAGAGTGTTCTGATGAGAACTACACATTCTGCAGTTCTTATTTATTTTTCTATCTGTGGAAGAAGGGACCTGGGAAATGTCATGAATGGATGGGGAACTGTTTTGTCATGGGCTGCATTGGGTAGCTGGGCTTCAGCACAATTCAGGCTAGCAAAAGAGGTGATAAAATAGAGGTGAAATTTGAATGCAGGCAAGCCCTACAGATTGTGAGCCTCATTAGGGCTCCTTCAGCACGTTTTAAAATGGCATGTCCCAGCCTCCAGAAAATATTTGTGGGAGCGCAGTTGCAAAGCAGCTGACCTCACTGCAGCCTGAAATAAGAGGAGAAGATCGGTCCGCAAACTTGAAAACAAAAACAAGACGCTTCCTTGCCAATGCCAACAAAGATCTCCTTGCCTTCTTTGATTTATGTGCAGAGGTTGCAATTCTGCATTATAGAATTTCTATTTAAAACTCTCAATTCCAATAGTGCAACCAGAGGAATAGGATGACGTGGAAATACTATTTATACATTCCTCATTCAGGCCTGACTTTGCAGAAATGCTCAAACTTTGCACATTTGGCTAAATTCATTAGCGCCATGAACTGCTACAATCAGCATCAATAGTCCAGGAAATGACAGGAATTTAATCAAAATTATGATGGGTAATTTCTTATTGAAGGCAGGGCAAGAACCACTGCAGACAGAGGTGGCCTGACAAACTGTATGTTTACCATCAAGTAATTGCATATGGATAAAAGGAGGGTAAACAGAGAAATTTAACCATACATCATTCTCTTTTATACACAAATAAATGCATACATGTATTAGTCTGGCCAGGTATAATTAGTACTGTATCTATCTACATATATTTGGCCCTTTCCACTAAGTAAAGGTTTGTATTTAGATTAAGTAATATAAAACAGGAGAAGTGATTCAGAGAAAGCTTTTTTTATGTGTAGTCAGCTATCAAGTAGGACGTCTTGCTCTTTGTTTAGGATCTTTCAGAAAGAACATGGAATGGAACAATAAGGTTTTGTGGAAATGCAAAGGATTTCTGGAATGTGTGTGCCTCTAATAATTTTTTTAAAAAAAAATCATTTTCTGGTATGTAGCTTGTTTCTGGAGATTTACAGCTCAACAACTTCAGGCCTTCTTAATTGGTCATGGAGTTGAGGAAATAAACCCATTTAGTGGTCGGTTGAGTGATCAATTCTCTATGGCAGCTATGTATGTATGTATGTATGTATGTATGTATGTATGTGTGTGTGTGTGTATGTGTGAGCTTTAAAACTGATGCCGTGTGGCTTCTCTGCTTTTCAAACTCTCTATTTCACAGCTTCTATGAACATTTCTTGTGGGTGTCCATGGTATTCTAAATAGAGCTCAGTTTAATTAGCAATGTTGCGCCTAGTTTGTTGGTTAATAATAAGATGCTATATTGAAGACAGAAATATTTGTTGGAAAGGAACATGTTATTAATTAATAATAACATATTATTATTAATTTATTTTTAACGTGTATTAATTTATATTGCTAGCACTCTGTAATCTTCTTATTTTTAATAGACTTTTAAGTCCCTGACTCCTGTGCATGGTTATATGGCATCAGTCAATAAATAACACAGCCTAAAAGTATTTTGGGTTGGCTTCAAGTTGACAAAGTCATTATTTTTGTCTTTTAAGTTAGAGTCTGTTAAAAGGAAACTTGGAAAGGCCCACAGTTTTATAATACCAGATGACTGCATCAGCTCTTGTTATTGAGCCGTTCTTGAGTTTGTTTTAATAAAGGCTCTCATTTCTTGGTAAAACATTCTTTATGCTTTCATGCCTTTGAGCTGTGTTAGCAAGAAATCTATACTTACGGTCTACCTTCAGTCATATTCATTTTTAAGAGCCGGGGAATTTGCAATCGCCAGAGGGCGCTGGCATTCTTTTCTAGTTCAACACTCAGCCTGTCAGCTTTTTAGGCCAGTGTGAAAAACTCTTTTGTTACCACTGGTATTGTTTGTCTTCTCAGGGGATACAGAATACAATCGTGTTGTGGTTCAGACTAATGCTCAGGCAGTTTGTCAGGACTAACATCTTACTCCTCAAGTCTTTCTAGCATTACTTTCGGACTTGCCTTACTCCAAACTCCTCAAGAGTTTTCAACGAATCTGTGGGATTTTGATAGCCTGGTGTGGACTGAGGAATGGAGGACAGGAATGTAGTCCTTGACTTACAGCAGCTCATTTAGTGACCATTTGAAGTTGGAACAGCACTGGGGGGAAAAATACTTATGGATGTTTTTCATGCTTATGGCCCTTGCAGCATTCCCAAGGTCATGTGATCAACATTTGGATGCTTGGCAACTGGCTCATATTTACGACGGTTGTAGTGATCCCCTTTTGCGACCTTCTGATGAGCAAAGTCAATGGGGAAGCCAGATTCGCTTTACGACCGTGTGACTAAGTTAACAAATGCAGGGATTCGCTTAACCACAGTGGCAAGGAAGACTGTAAAATGGAGCAAAATTCACAGAGCAACTGTCTTGTGTAAGAAGAGGAAAGTTGTGCTCATTTGCAGTTGTAAGGCAGGAACTGATCTTTGACTAGTTCCAATCTTCCACAGGAAGCATCTGCTGAAGAATAAGTGATCCTCAACCCCCATGCTGCCTTTGCACAATGTGCTACAATAGAGTAAAATGGCGATTTCTCATTGAGCCCTT